TCTCCGGCCTTGTACACATCTCCAGTGTAAAGGTCTAAAAGAAATTCCTGTTCTGATGGTACACCAATGTCCAGGTTCTTGAGCTCGCCAATCAACTCTGAGATCATGGTAGTTGATAGTTCCTCTTCGTTTGTCTTCCATTCGTTGTAGAAATCATAGATCGGCTGTGCTCCACACTTTGTGAGTAGAGCTTTCATTATGTCTCTGTCTGGTTCTGTCATAGAAATCTTTCTTGAAAAATGCTGCGATGATTCTCCTTCTGCCGATTCTTGTTGTTCCGGCTGGGCCGGTTGTGATTGAGCTTCATCACTTGCGATGGGAAGAACAGGTGGGCCTCCTGCTGCTGGTCCAGGTGGTCCCGAAGATGGAGATGCTGAAAGATCCGGCAAGTCGTTGTTATCCTTGTTCTTGATGTCTTCCTTATTGATGATCTCCTCGGTGTCGTTGATCTTGACTTGCTTCTGAGGAGGCGGTTTAGCTGTGGTCGAGCTCTCGCTGCTGCTGTTGTGGTCTCTCTGGGAAACACGGCTGTCGTCCAATCCACCAGTGTTGCTGTAGTCTAGGTCACCTGTATTGTTTATGTCTTCAGGATATTGTACTGTCGTCTGAGAACCATGTGAAGAACGTGACCTTGATCGATCAGAGGGAGCATTGTCTTCCCCTGGTGGAGTTGATGGTACTGCTGGAGGTTCGTAGTCTGCCTGTGGCTGTGGAGTAGCCAGTGTCGGTGAAGCTGCCGTTGTAGTCTGTCCTGAAGATGAACTCGATGCTGTCGTGGATGGTTGTGTCATTGTCGGTCTAGATGGTCCTGTTGATGACGAACTTGTAGACTGTCCGGTACTGCTGCCATATGGTTATATCCGGTGTCTTGCTGGCTTTGGAGATGGTGCCCACGTAGATACATGAGTCTTCCAAGGCGTAGGATGTGGAATAGTAGCTCTCGCCGTAGCTGGACTAATAGGTTTAGCTGTCGTAGTAATGGGCGGTCGTGCAGTAGTAGTCGGTGTCATCAACGATTCTGCATTTTGAGAAGGTCCAGGCTGTCGCGGCCCAATTGACATAGGTATTGCAGGAAAATGTACCGGTTGTAGTGGTTGTGATGATGATCCTGCTGATGGCACCTGTGGTCTCCATGAGATAGGTGGTGCCACGTCGAAAATGACTGTTCCTGATCCTGGTGGACCTGGCGGTCCTGGTCTTCCGTTGGAGGAAGTTGCAACATCGTCCATTGGTTCATCTGGCAGTGTTGGTCGTAGCTGAGGTAACGTAGGATTCTGGCCCGCAGGGACCTCAATCGATTTCTCCGGAAAAGATGAATCCTGTGGTTCGTCCAATGATTCGTCCGTACATATCGGTACTGATGAAGCCGGTGGTGCAGGCGGCGCCGGTGGCTGCCCTGATGAAGTCGCGGCTGGCAGATAAGCATCGGAATCGTGATCTTTCTCTTCTTCTTCCATAGGTTCTGAAGAAGGTGTATGTTGTACTGGTTGTGATTGTTGAGGTGCTGCAGGTGGTGATCTCCTGCGAGAAGGCGAGCTGTCGTCATCATCTTGTTGATCCATGGCTGGCGAGGGTGCGTCGTTCATAGGCGTAATACTTGAGATGTCACTCCAATCCATGTCAGGTACCAAATCATGTTGTAGTTCTTCCTGATGATCGAAACTGCATAGAATAACTGTTGACCAATTTTCAAATTTGTCTGCCCTGAAAGTCATGGTAATCTTAGGCATGTATTGCTTGATGTAGTAGTCCTTCCTGTCTCGACGATTCCATCTGAAAATAACTGCCCACATTGCCTGTGAAATAAATGGTATTCGTCGAAGGCTGGTGCCAAATAGAACACCATGAGCTCTTGGAAAGACTGCTTGAAATAATTCTTCACACATTTTGAGAACTTGGCATCGGTCAACTGATTCTTGATCGGGAACAAAGATATATTCTCCATCTCGACAAACTTTGCCAATCCATCGTAGTTTTCCTGGCGGTTCTCCGTCAATGATGTCCATGAGCGCATTGGTCAATCGTACCTGCTTATCGTCACTGGATTATTTCGCTGGTTCTTGTTCTGCCTCAAAGATACTCGCCTCTTTGACCACGTGATAGTTGCAAAAGAAATCCTCTGAATACTGATCAAGAGACTTGTGGAAGAACTGTGAGAGAACATGTCGTCGCATGTGTTGTAGAGGTATCAGCAGTGGTTGTCCTTGATGTCGTATAATAGCTGATCCAGCCAGTCGTTCCACTGATATCAGTTCTGCTGGTCCACGCCAACCGTCGTCTTCTTTCCTCTTGGGCTGTCTCCAGTAGTCGATGATCGTACCGGGCATGAGCAATTCATGGCTGTGCTTGTGTTGTTTGATACGCGACGCCATGGCCAGTCGGTCTTCAATGAGTCCTTGAAGAATACATTGCTTTGCCAACATCCTGGTCCTCATCATCTGCTCGATGTAGTCTGGCCTCGAACTCAATGCTCCAACACTAGATTCCAGTGTCTCCGTATCTGGAACATACCATCCTCGCTGTTCAACTCCTGTCAGAGCCATCTGAGGTGTTCCACCATTGTATTCCAAGAGTAGGTTCTGCGACATGCAAACTTCTTGACAAATTTCTCCTGCTGTGATGTCGATTCCTGCGGACTGTAGTTCCTTCTTCAACTTTAGCATGCCAATCTTGGCCAGGGCAATGCGTCGTTCAACCAATCCTTTTGTTGAGGAACCGTCGCGTCCGACAAGTAGACGTGCGATCGAGAGTCTGTCGAACATCCGCGTTGCTTCGTCGCTGAGCAAGCCTCCTTCTTGATCTGAGAGCAAATGTCGCATAGGCCCCCAGAATCTGATCCACAGACGATAAAGTGCTCTAACAAGTGTAGGTCCGAGTTTATTCTCAACATGATCTCCTGCTTTCCAGCGAATAGCCTCGTCTATGAGCAACATAAAAACCAAATCCCACATGAAGAACAAGTCGCGTTGAACAACTTCGTTGAAGATGGTGGAAAGTTGAGACTTTATCGATGGCGCATGAAGATGTCGCTGCTGTGACTGACATATGGAACAATCTCGAGCAATTTGGACTCCTTTCAGAATGATGCCCTTCGGTAACAGAGCTGCCTGAAGAAGTCGCAACATGTCCTTGGGAGAATTGTGCCAAAATCTTTCATGAACTCCTCGTAAGAGTCGATCCTGCTCTGCTGGGGAGGCCTTCATCAACTTGCCAGGTAGATCCTTCAGATCAACACTGGGCTTGATCGCGTCAAGACGTCGCCCAGACATTTTCACAATTTCTTGACCTACTCCTTGGGAGTCTTGACTTCCAGAAGGTTGTACTGGCGAAGGTACATGAGAAGCTGCGGTCTTTCCAGTGACTCTTCTTTTGGCATATTGTCGATGTCCTTCGGGCTGTAATTCTCCAAGAAGTTGTACCAGGTAACGCGCATCATCATGAGGTAACTTCTTCAGAGTCTCTGAACTGCAACTCTGCCAATCAGGTAGAAATTCAGCTCGTACATTACCATCTGAAAAACCATAGAAGATCAATCTGTCTTTCGAGGCATCGGCTGCGATAGGTCTGTCATAAACGTATATCTCCTTCGGCCAAATTTCCGCGTCCAGTGCTGTGAATACGAAAACTTCGTGAAGCAGATGGTGTAGAACATCTCCGGCTGGATTTTCCATTCGAGCTCCAGGAATCTTGAAAACTCTGGTAGTTGAATGTCCTGGAATAGTTGTCCTGGAAGAGTAGTCCACAAGATATTGTATGCATGCCTTGAGCATTTGTTGGTCGAGTCCTTCCAGAAATTTGCAGTAACCGCAGTTCATTGTGATATGAGAAACCTCCATTGATTTCAAGAGATCGCGTAGATTCCTGCGGTCCAGGATCTTCTCGTTGGTAGTGATTCCAGGTACTGTTCCATCATCATCATCTTGAGCTGGTTGTATTTCTTCTGCTGGATAATTCTGGTGCGAAGTCTTCTTGGAAGACCTGAGCAGAACCATGATGTCTTGGCAAAGGCTTGAACAGAATCTTCGTGAATATGCTGCAGAAGCTGCCGTTCGTTTTCTGTGTTGATCTCGATCGTAGCCTTCAAGTTGTTCATGTCCGTAGTAGCATCTGCACTTTCCAATACAGCGTGTCAACTCGAACGAGCTCTTAAGTTTCGTCTCCTTCCGATGTCGCTGTCCGTCAGGTAGAGAAGAAAACCTGCACATGTCCGTAGAGTATGTGTGTCCATTGAACTTGTCATGATGCTGTAGTGCTGCCAATGGTGACTTGGTCCATATGGCTGACGACTTCGGATTCTCGAATATTCCATGTCGATCTTGTTGAGCATTGTCACAAGCGTTCTGCAAGATGAACTTTAGCATGCCTGTTTCTTGTTGCCTTTTGTCTGCAGTAACTTATGGATCTCTGCTGCTGCCCATTCGACTCCAGTATTTGCATCTTGGTTCATAAGTAGTTACCATTGGAAGAAAGTGTTGATCGGCTGTATGTAGTAGCTGCTGATGTTCAGGAAGACGTAGGTCCCAGCCGTAGCGTAGGTCCACAGGGAATAGAACGAGAAGGTTGAAAAGGGGCAGAGAGCATGATTAGAGCGAGTCGAGAGGATCCTGAACACCATGTCCATAGTGAAATTATCGGTAGTCTGTCGCCAAAGCATCCGGAGAGCACATCCGTAAATTGAGAGAAACAGGATGGAGTAATAACGGGTAGATCCTTGAGCGTGGTGTAGCACATCTCTGGGATGGCTTTGAACTCACTGTTGGCCTCGTTGAGCTCGTCAGGAGAAAGAGAGGAAGGAAACATGGGTGTCCCTGTCCAGCGCGGTGCTGAAATAGTACTCCATGCATGTAGATATCGTTGAACTGTGGAATTCCGAAATGAGTACAACTCGTGGCCAAACAGTTTCTCGTCGTGTTCAGGACCTATTGAAAAAGCGTCGGCCTCGGGGTCGAGTCCTCGCCGTCATGTTCTGTGTAGAGTCCTGCAACAAATGCTGTCGATACTGGCGCATTCTGAGAATACTGCTGGTAGGAGTAGAAGTCCATGGTGTTGGACGGTGGCAGTTGCCGCTGAGCGGCACGTCCAAGCTGCTGTTTCTCGTTCTTCACGAGTCGGTCCTGCTTCCAGTCGCGCGGCTTGTTGAACTGGTCAATAGGTAGTAGATAATGTCCTGAATCTGTCAACAACAATCTCTGAGCACAAATCGAACCGCCCGTTGTCCTGATGCCGAGCAGGCCATCGTTGTTGGCGAAATATCCGCAACATATGATGCATCCAGCATTGAGTAAACTCACCAATGGAACCAGACCAGGGCACCTTGATGATATTCCTCCGAGAACGTCGGCTGCGAAGGTCGCGTTCTTGATGCCCTGCAAGCCGATGGGAAAACTTACCAATGACAATGACTTCTGTGGGTCTGCCGTAATGCCAGTGAACTTGTTGATGCTGGGCTTCCACTTTACGAACTTCTCAAGACGCCTGGGGCGTAGAATCTGTGCTACAATATCTGCAAAAGTGTCTGTGCCAATCAATCCTCGTGAAGCTCCAGGGTCTATCAACAAACCATGCGCCTTGAGGCCTTTGATCACCGTGAAGTTGTGAAATCGGTCACTCTGGTAGACCATGCCTTTTGCGATGAAGCTGCCGTGCTCCTGGGGAGCATTGGTAAGGTGGACCTCCTTGACTTCTTCCTCGTCGTCGTCCTCGAGGATAGCTTCCGGGATAGAGCCAATCTTCATCCATGATGATGGTGTCCTGCTCAGTGTAGGGCTTGATGCTGATGTGGGTCCTTCTTTGAGTTCTTCTCCGAGGTCTGTGGCATCCTTGATGGGGCTTGCCGTACAGTCGAAGCACAGGATCTTGCTGTTCGACGAATTTAGGAATGAATGATCTGAACAGCATTGCTTCAAGCACGTGGCGCAAATCGCTGTCGATACCTTCCAGCATGTGTGACATATCCTCGGTACTTCCAGGCTCGTCGATGTCAATGGGACGTAGAGAGGTTCGCGCAGTCCTGGAGGATGGCTTATCTCCATGGGTCCATTCGAAAAGGATGAGGCTGAGCTTGTCGTGGTTGTTGCAGGCGCTGCTGATACTGCTGGTACTGATGTCGCTCCTGGAGGGTCCGGTCCGAAGATCAGCTGGTACGCTTTTCCCGCCTTGTGTCTCTCTAGCTTCCTGTGATGGTCGCCATCCGACTCTGATGTAGGAACAAAACCAGAAAGACTGTCCTGATCATGTCGTGCTCCATCTCGTGCACTTGTCGTGGGGAAAGTTGCGTACATCTGACCGTAGTTGCGCTGCTTGTAACCGTTCTTGGAAGATCTCTTGCCCTTGCCTTTTCTACTCTTGCCTCTGAAAGAGAATCGTCCAAAATCGCTGCGGCCCATTGAACGTTGTCCTTTTCCGCGTCCTGGTTGATAGCGTGGCCCGTGTGGTCGTCGATCATATCCTTTTCCTCGAGAACCTCTGAGAGTGGGCTTCCAAGATCCCTTGCGGGTCCAATATTCTTCATCATCTTGAGGTCGCTCGGAATCCGCATGATGTTCTGATTCGCGCTGTCCATTGGAAGATGCAGGTCCTGAGTTCGTCTTCATAGGGCATTGTTCCGTAGCGTGCCACTTGCTACCACACTCCGTGCACTGATCGCCACTAGATCGTTTTCCTCGTCCTTTATTGTGTTGTCCGCGTTGTTGATGGTCGCCGTATCCTTTTCCTTTCCGAGACTTTCCTCCAGACTTCTTGCCTTTTCCGCCGTAGTAGTCTCCGTGGTCCTCTCCGTATTCGTCTGGGTATTCTTCCTGCCATTCAGACCAATCATCACCTTCTTGATCGTCGTAGTACTCCTCTTCAGTCCAGTCTCGACCAGAGTCGTAATCATACCAGTCGTCATCCTCGTTCCAGTACTCTTCGTCATTCCAGTCGTCGTCGTCGTACTCCTCAGTGTTGTACTGCTTGTATCCTTGGGACTGGTCGTAGCTGGCGGACTCATTCTTGGAGATCTTCATCTGGAGGGCTATCATCTCTCTGTAACGTGTGAGGTCTCCGCCAACCTTGAGTCTGAGATCTGAGAGCTGTCGTTCTGCGATGCCTGAGCGACTGAAGAAGAGCCATGCTTTGCCACTGTCACCAATGGCGAGACCTCCATGTTTTTCTGCTTCCGAGTAGAGGCGTTCCCATTCAACAACGTACGTGGAGAAGTCCATGTCGTAGGGTTTGACGAAACAGAAGAATCTGTCCAGGCTCGTCCAGGCGAGATCCTGGTCGTCTAAGTAGTAGAGTTCCGTGAGCTTCGCAATCGGTACTTTGACTCCTGAAGGGCACGCTGGAGCAAGACTATTTCCTGCTTGGTCATTGATAGCTGGTTGAGCGTCAAGAGAAACTGCCTCGATCCCTTCGTAGGTCGTCTGCGCAAGAGTCTGGGGATCTGGCCTCTGAATAGTCAGGCCAATTGCAATCCTTAGAGCTCCTCCTTCCAGTCGTGACATGATCGCGGGTCCTATCTGTTCTTGATCAAGCTTGGTCAGGCGGCCCCAGATGGCTAAGTATTCTTTGTACTCCTTGATCGGGTAAGCTCTGGGTCTCCATCCTGGTGGCACATCCTTCGTGTATTGCCGAAGACCAAGCTGAGAAGTTGCCGTCGTCTGCTGCATTGTATTCGAATGATACTGTAATGAAGTAGATGGTCTCGAAACCAATCCGTTGTCCTCGGTATCTGATGTAGATCTGAAACCGTTCTGATAGTTGTGGTCTCGATGTAGATCTGAAACCAATCTGTCTGCTGCACAGGCCTGACAGGTGCGCGCGCAAGCGTGCGGTCCGTGGACAGAGCCTCCGTAGAGGCTCCGCTACCAAACTCGGGATATCGATGAGAATCGTATCCAATGAGAATTGATGAGAATCAATTATCTTGATAATTAAGAGTGAATCTGTTAAAGATATCGGATGAGATCTTTCTTCGCTAAGCCAAACGGCTACAGTACGTAGCAAAGCAGCAGGCAGTCGAGCAAGAGCTTAGCCTGGAAGCCTAGCTTTGGGACGTTAGTCCAGGGGCTCCCAAGAGGCTCTTTACAGGGACCCGCTCGAAACCTATCATACATCAGAATTCTAACTGCGGGGGGGGGGGGGGGGGCGAAAATGGAGGGGCGAAGGAATAAGAAAAACAAAAGTGGGACGATGGGGGGGGGGGCAGAGAGAAGGTTGGGACGCGTGGACGAAGCGGGCGCGAGGGGGCGGGCGCGCGGAGGAAGCGGGCGCGCGGGGGGAGGAGACCCCCGGAGCCAAAGCGGAAGCAAAACGCTGGGAGCGACGCGCAAGTCCGCTGGAGGTCCGGGCACGCCTGCCCGACGGCCCACGGGCCTCCTCGACCGGAAAATCACGTCGAGTGAGATCGATGGCGACGAGGAAAAGGAGGGCGCGGAGGAGGAAGAGGGGGATGGTGACCGGAGCGCGCGGAATCAATGCGACCCGGAGCGGTCCGACAGAAACCCGCGTCGGGCCCGAAACGAAGCGGCGGCGCGGCCGCCGAAGCCGACGGGCGCGCTCCGAGAGGGCCCCGAGAAAACTCCAAGAAGCACCTCGTCTGCCAGCGACGCAGGGGCGAATCCATCGCGCCGCAGTTCTCAACGGTCTCCGGAGCCGCCCAGCGGCAATCCCGACAGCCCTGGAGAGTGCGCGATCTCACGCGGCACCCCCACCATGACATAGCACTCTGCGACTGGTCTTCCGAGGGAGGGATTGCCGCGGGAGGGGCGCGAAAACCAAAAAAAAAAAAAAAAAAAAAAAAAAAAAAAAAAACGCAGCGAGGGATGAAGGGCGCGCGCCGCTGGCATCCGGCGGGCGACCCCGTCGGGCGCCCGCGACAGAAGAACGCCGGGCGCCGACGCTCGCGCAGCGCATGCAACAGCGAGCGCGATCGCAGCGATGCGCTGTCGGATCGGATGGATGCTCGCGCCGCTCGCGCCAAGATACTCGCGCGCGCGCGCATGAAAGCTGTTCGCCCCGCTGCAGAAGCCACGCGCCGGGCCCTGAAGGGCCGGGCTGCATTTTGGCTTTCTGCGGCGCCCACTATCTGGGCAGTTGCGCAGGGGGGGCGACGCCGCGTAAGCCGCGCCCCCCCCGGCGCGCCCTCGCGCGCGAAGGGCTCCGCCATCTTGCGAGCCGCCGACGGCCCGGCGCGAAATAATTGCAACTGTCTCGCCATCTCGCCCCGCAGATCGCTCGCGTCGTGACGGCAACGTCGCCAGAAGTGATTGCCCTGCTCGCGCTGTGAAAAGACTGCGCCAGGTCGCCGACGCGGCGAGAAGCTTCCCCCCCTCGACGGCCGCGCGTATTCTGCGCGAAGCAGGCGCCGCGCCGCGCCCCCGACTACGCGTCGCAGGCGCCCGCGCGGCGCGTCGCCGCCTGTCGGGCCACCCCGAGTCGGAGCAGGACACGGGCGATGGCGCTCGCAGAACGTGGGCGCTCATATTCGGCAAACCCTCGACGCGCTTCCGACCGCGCCTCCGCGCGCCTTCCGGGCGGGCCGCGCGCTCCAGCATGGCGAACAGCAGATCTCCGATGCCCGCGTCTGGCGGCAGCTGCGGGGTTGCCGCGGCCGCGCGTCCGCGGATGCACGAGCGCTCGCCATCCGCGCGTTCGGCTCAACGGAGCCGCTGGCGCCTGGCGCGCCCCGACGTCGGCCTTGGCTGGAACGGCCGCGCCTCCGCGCGCTGGACTGCGGGAATTGCCGCGCGTTCCCGCAACAATGCCGTAGTTTCACTCTCTCAGCACAGTAAGACTTCCACAACTTCCTCATTCAAGAAGAAGAAGCAGTTGTTTTTCTCTCCGTGACCACGAGACCGCGCCATTCTCCAATTTGCCCAGCAACGCTGCGACAATTGCCTCCATTCACCTCGGCGACAATGCGTTTGCTTCATTTTACCGTCGCCACAACGCGATGGTTTCCACCTTCCATCACCGCAGACATGCGAGAGCTTTCCTACCGGCTCAGCACACAAGCAACGATTCTCTCATGCATGACCAACAGTGCGCGCTCGAGCTCCAAGGGCGGACAGTTGCGCTGGCTGCCAGAGGGCATCGCAGCACAACTGCGAGAGTTCCCCGTCGAGCACGGTACATTTGTGAAAACGAGAGATGGACACAATTCGCTCCTATAATATGTTTGGAATGACGCATCAAAAAGGACCCGAATGACTCCGACACGACACTCCACTCCAGAGGGACTGCCTGTGTGGAGGCTGGCTCCCCGTCCGGGACCGCAAGGGACATCGCCAATGCACCCCTTTCAGGAGATTCGCTTGTAGACTCCAGCGCCCCCTTCAAGATCACGGTTCCTGGTAAGCCTTTCGAAAGCACGGAGCTCGGCAAACCCTCCGGGACAATGGCCCTTAATAGGGCTTTCCATGGCGTTTCGGTCTCGCGCGGCCCTCGCCCCAACGGGCCCCCGCCCCCGGAAGACCGCGCGGAGAGGGGCCAAGCTGCAGGCCTGAAATCTTGATTGCACCTGGGAGCGCGCAGCGACACTCATGCAGACGCAGGCGCGCTCTCCTGCCGTCCCGCCCCTCATTCTGATATTTCTCCCCTTTTCGTACTACTCGTCGTTGCCATGTCCCACCTCTTGCTTATCGTCCTCATTCCTGTTTGTCCTCAT